AGGGATTGGCAGCGGATGGGCGTTTCTCCCCATGCTGTTTGACCCACATACCCACGCCAGCCCCAAAGCACGGCATCTGCCCGTTTTCACTACTGACTTCATCCCTTGTCCCAGACCTGAGCTTCTTTAAGAGAGTTCGGCGCTGAGATACAAACTCCAAACGACTGTTCAGGAGCTGGAGTTGAATGGATTTGGTGAGGAAGGTCTTTTCAGCTGGTCTCTGGGGGAACGACGGTCGGTACATGATTGAGAGGTCATGTGATGGCCAAGAGCCTTGCCAAATTTCTACAATAAGGAAGGAGAGAAAGTTCTGTCATCCCTGGGTGGGCTCAAACCACCAACCTTTCTGTTAACAGCCAAACGCACTAGACCTATTGCACCACAGAGACTACGTTGCACCCCTTCTTCCAGCCTGCATTTAACAGAGTAACATATTGGGAGGGCCCTCAGCATGAAGAGGGCAAAAAAGGTTAAGTGCATGTAATATAAATGAATTGTTTTTCTAAAGATGACCCTGTGCAAACTTATGTGCGCATCTGGTGGAAAAATACTGGGGCAACTAGAAGAGATTGTGCAGAGTGCAAGATGTTTTGCAAAACTGTACGACGGTTGTCTTGAGGAGAAGAACAGCTATTGAAAATTCAAGATTTCTTTCTTGTCATTTTTCTTGCACTTACATACAATCAAGAATGAAATACCGTTCCTCCTAGGGCAACAGTGTACATAAATTAAAATAGAGAATTAAAAGAGCTTTTATAAAAAGACTTGTATAAAATATAAAAAAATACAATAAGCAATAAACAACATGTAGCTATACACAATACATACGTGCAATACAACCCAATACACATGGTGCACTAAAGAAAAAAAGAAAATTAGCAGTATATATGGAGGGGAATAGCAGCATATACTGTAAATGACCTTTGTCTATACATAAAGTGCATTATGCAGTGTGAAAATGGCACTAGTGGAGAGAAGTATCTGGTACTATGGGGAGTTAATGGTTTAGTGGTGGAGGGGGGTGCAAGAATGCTTTTGATCCTCACAGCCTGGCGTATGACGCTGTTTAGAAACCTGCTGGTCCTGGTACGGATACTTCTGTACCTCTTCCCAGATGGCAGGAGGGAAAACAGGCTGGGGGAGGGGTGGTCGGGTCCTTGGTGATGCTGGAGGTTCTGTGGGTGCAGCGCTGGTTGAAGATCTCCAGCAGGGAGGGGAGAGGGACACCAACAACCTGCTCAGCTGTTTCTGTTTGGAGGTTTTGCACTTTCTTCAGAACCAGGCAGTGATACAATAGGTCAGAACACTTTCAATGGTGCCCCTGGAGAAGGTGGTGAGGGCCGGAATGGGGAGACTGGCCTGTTGGGCCTTCTTGGCGATGGCCATGGTGTTGGTGGTCGAGGTCAGATCGTTTGCCATGTATGCTCCCAGGAAATTGATGCTACTGACCCTCTCCACAATCGTGCCATCTACGGTCAGCAGGGGTGGTGGTCCGTGCGGGATTTTCTGAAGTCGATGACCATCTCCTTAGTCTTGTCGACATTCAGAGAGAGGTTGTTTCTGTTGCGCCTCGCTGTCAGCTGCTCCACCTCCATCCTGTATGCTGACTCATCACCTTTGCTGATGAGACCCACAACTGTTGTGTCATCAGCGAACTTGATGATGTGGTTGTTGCTGAATCTGGCAGCACAGTCGTGGGTCAGCAGGGTGAACAGCAGGGGGCTCAGGACGCAGCCCTGGGGTGAGCCTGTGCTCACTGAGGTGGTACCTGATGTGTGGCTGCAGACTCTGACTGTCTGCTGCCTTTGTGTCAGGAAGTCCAGGATCCAGTTACAGGTGGCAGTGTCCACATCCAGCTTCTCCACCAGTTGCTGTGGTATGATGGTATTGATAAATACATAAATCTGTCAAAGAGCAATCTGCATTTTCAAACTCCAATGCCCTGTCAGTCTCTCCCAAAATGAAGAGAGAGCCTCCATCTCTGATCAGCACTATGGACAGTTATGTAATTCCTCTTGACTGTCCAGGACAGGGAGTTCACTTCTACTCTTTCCACAGATTTGTGATGTTCAGCTACAAAACATTCAAAATATTATCATATAATACAAAATGGCATTTCACTGATTGATCAGACATATTTGAATTGTATTCATTGTCATTTGAGTTGGAAATAACTGTCATTCCCTCTCAAGGCTCGGATATCCTGACTAAAATTCAGTCTCAGTATTTTTGTGTAGTAGATGTTTATTAGATGTGTGAGAGTTTATTGAATCATTGAAGCTCAGTGTGCTGGAGCAGAACCCCTCAGTGTCCCGGGTCAGTGCCTCCCCCCTCAGCACCTGCAGTAGGTCCCGGCTGCAGCAGTGCAGTCTCTGTGCAGTCTGACTGAGGGAGGTTTTTGTACAGCTCTCTATCACTGTGTGAACACAGGGCCACTGTGTAAACTCTGACAGTAGTAATCTCCTGCATCTTCAGCCTGGACTCCACTGATGGTCAGAGTGAAGTCAGTCCCAGATCCACTGCCACTGAATCGATCAGGAATCCCTGAGTAACGAGATGTTGCCCCATAGATCAGGAGTTTAGGAGCTTCTCCAGGTTTCTGCTGGTACCAGGCTAGGCAGTGCTTACCACCATTGACATAAACAGCAGTGCTGGATCTACAGCTCAGGGTGACAGTGTCTCCTACGAGAGCAGATTTACCAGCAGGAGTCTGAGTCACAGTCACCTGTCCTGTGGATTCTGAAGGGAAGAATAAAAAATATAAATACTTATATTATCCATTGTAACATTAGAATGTCACATTATTGCCCAGGCAGTTATTTTATATTTTTCAAGTACATTTACTTTTTATACTTCCATTAAAATTGAAGACAGTATAACAATTTGAATATGTTTTATGAGTGTTACCCTGAATACAGAAAGCGAGTGCCCAGATGAAGATGGTGATAAAAGTAATTGTTGCTGTGGGTTCTGTTGCCATGAAGGACAGCTGTCAGTCATCAAGTGTTAAACTCACAGGACTATAAACACTCCCAGAGCACTGAAGGATGTGCTGCAAATGCAAAGTGTCTTCTCTATGCAAATGGTCTTCCTGGGTACAGCAGGCACTTGTAGCAGTGCTGTGGAGGCAGACTAGGGCTTATGGGCTGTGACACAGACAGAGCAGTTTAACACTGGTGTAACAGTGTCTGGACAGCAACAGAAACAGGCAGTTTAAGGGTTCCATTGACCTCTTGATGTGCCTGTTTAACCTATATCTCATTGATGCCAAATGTAGCTGTTTCCATTCAGAAAGTTCTAGAATAATTCATCTGTGTGTTCATAAGTGATTTAAACAGTTTTGAATGATTTCTCTCCTCTTCTGCACTCAAAATGTGCAGAAAAGGGACCGCGAATACATCTCAATGATCCATTGTGTGTGACCACCTTCTCCCATTGGCCCATTGTGTGTGACCACCTTCTCCCATTGGCCCATTGTGTATGACCACCTCCTCCCATTGGCCCTTTGTGTGTGACCACCTCCTCCCATTCGCCTATTGTGTGTGACCACCTTCTCCCATTGGCCCATTGTGTGCGAACAGCTGATTATTGACACCATTATGACACCAAAACGATTATTTTATGGAATGGCAATATTTTTTTTTATTTATGTCAGTTCTTTAATAAATAGAGAATAACTTTTAGGTTTTACTGCATATTTGTATCATGGCAAGAGCATGAATGCCTGGGTCTACTGAATCCAGTGAGGTACAAACATTGGATATACTATGCAGGTACAATATACAATATATTTCCAAATAAAAGCAGTAAGAATAAAATTTAAAAATAGATTTAAAAAATCATGGGGCACATCAACAGATTTTCATGCTAACTGACAGACCGATCTCTGTGTGTCTCACGGTCAAACACAGGGAGTGATTCAGACACAGATTCTCCATGTGAAATTAAAAAGAAAGACTGTATCACTGTCAGTGTTTCCCTGTATCACAGTGATCAGTTCCTTTCTCAGCATTTCACACTGTAGTTATGATATGAGCACAGTGAAGAGCCTTCTGTTGGCAATGGGATCACTGGGATGTTTCACCTCTCATATTACTGACAGATTAAATCAAGAGCAGCTCTGAGTTTCTCTGTTTGACATTTCCTTTTCACTGTTTTTAATGTAATCATTTATTTGTCCCAATTTTGAACAACCAATCACATTTATAGGGCCGTCACATATGTGTTAAACAGCACTGGTCAGAGCTGCTCAGGTCAGGATCTGATACCGAACTGTAGCTTCCTCCCTGCTATTACAGCGTTACACCACCAGGTGCAGAAGTGGCGCTCTGCCTCAACACAGCCTACGGATTGAGGGGATGGTGGAGGGAGTGGAGGGTATCAGGCCTCCTGAGTCCGTGGCTCAGCTGTTTAAGGACTGTCTTTCGCTCGCCGACACACCACTGCTCCATCGCTGCCACAGGTCCCTTCAGCCAAAGCCTAACGCTGGGGAGGGACCCCATCCTTTTATAATCAGGGTTCACTTTCATCACGTGAAGGTGAGATTCTGCAAAAGGCCCGTGATGGAGCCCTAATTTTCCAGGGCAAATTTCCATATTCTTCATTTTCTCGGTCTATGCTCCAACCATGTCGAGGCAACGCATCACATTTGGAAAGGTGAAGCAGTTTCTGAAGGCTCATCATTCTGAGGTGAAATACTGCCTTCTTTACCCCGCTCGTCTCCGGCTATCTTTTAGGGACTCTCACCGCTTCTTCACCATCCTGGATGATGCAATTGCTCATATTCAACAGTACCTTGAAGGCTGATGGTGCCTTGAGGACCCGGAACTTTAACGTGAGTTCATACTGCTTTTATGCTATGCCTTTTAACTGGGTTATACAGAATATCAGTGAGCATAGGATAGCTCCTCCCATTTTGGGTTTCATGAAGCCTCACTCTCACATTACTGGGCTGTGGAAGGCTTCAAAGTGACAAAAGCACCTGTAGGCCTGTAGGTTTCTGCTGTAAAACTCCTTTCATAACCTCCCCTCTCTGGATAACCTAATTCTGCTTTTATACGATGTCTTTACACTCTATTATACATAACTAATTATGGGCTAAATTTATACCATGCTGAAACCGTATGGGCCTGTGTGATAAACAAACCATTTCAGTCACTGAAACATTTATTTTTATGATTGTGATTGTAATAATGACTGGTAGACTGGTATCTATGTTTCCTCTCAACTTGGTTCAATGTATGGAACACAATATGTAGCTCTCTGCTAAAAACGCCAGTGTATCTTTAACTACAGTTTTAAAATTTAATGCATTTTTGAGTAATTCCCTAATAATATACAATCTTACTGCAGCCAGTTTTCATACATTATGTTTGGATGGTTTGTTTTT